ACTCAGCAAGATGAGACACACAAAATGGCAATCTGAAGTTCCAACCAGGTCCATGTGCTAAAAGTCTGACAGACTACGATGATTGGTCTGGTCATATAATAGCTAATCTTCGTTGAGCAGTTACTACGTGCCAGGCACTGAGTTAAGCACTTTATCTACATTAACACATATAATTCCCACAACAACCCTATGAGGTAGGTACTATTATCGCCTTCATTGAACAGATGTGAAAATTGAATCAGAGAAACGTTCAATGATTTATTCAAGGCCACATAGTTCTTGTGTGCTGGATCTTTCAGAGCTTTCAAATGACCCCTTAGAGGAGGAAACTGATCCTGAAGGAGATGAAGCCATTTGTCCAAGAACCTATATCTAGTGAGTTGTAATGTAAGCCCAGGCTCTGTCTGGTACCAAAGCCACACTCTTAATCACTACACTGTCATGAATGGTAGCTATTAAAATAGACAATATGTGCACATTTTTCTAGATCCAGCTCTGTAAGGCAAAATGTTCCCTGAACTTAAGTAATAGTAAAACTTCCCCTTATTCCAGGGAGCTGAGAGTGAGAGCATGTACTTCCTTGGTAATGTACACGGTATAATGCAGCCAGGGCATTTGTAGAAAGCATCATGGTGAAAGGAGAGACTGAGAAAAACAGAGCTACTCAGGTGGGGCAGCAATAGCTGAGTTCTCATGTGACTTTTTCAGGTGGCTTTATGACAGCAGTAGTACTTTGTTCTTCCATGAAGAGAATGCTCTGTGAGCAAGAAAGCCCTTGGCTCAGATGTCCTTCCTCCTCCTGGCCTAAGATTTTTTTTTTTTTTTTTTTTTGCGGTACGCAGGCCTCTCACTGTTGTGGCCTCTCCCGTTGCGGAGCACAGGCTCCGGACGCGCAGGCTCAGTGGCCATGGCTCATGGGCCTAGCCACTCCACGGCATGTGGGATCTTCCCGGACCGGGTCACGAACCCGTGTCCCCTGCATCAGCAGGCGGACTCTCAACCACTGCGCCACCAGGGAAGCCCTGGCCTAAGATTTGATAACAAGTTGTTCTGATGCCACCAGTCCAAGTTTGTAGACTGTAAATAAACACTATCCTAGATGTGAAGTATAATGAAGCGAGGAATGTGAGGTGGCAAAGAACAGCCTAATTGCTATCCCTTCAGGGATGACTGGCTGTCTGGTGGGACAGCATATGGAGCAGGGAGAGGCAGATGGTTGTACTGCCAGAATCCTTGCTCCTGGACTCTCTTGTCACTACCAGAGTTTTCATTTGGTGATTGGTTTTGAAATATAGCTTGATACTGGTCTTCCTATTTAGAATATTATTAATGTTTATTCAGATCGCTATCATTCTTTATTCAGTAATGCAATTTACCAGGTTTTGATGTCTTCTGAACTTTGGTTCTGTTATACCCAAGGACCAGCTTGGTTATGTGTGTGTGCATGCACACGTGTGTGTAAATTTTATTTGATTTTATAAGTTCCCTTCCAAGTCTATTTTTCTGTGGTCAACAGGTTAATGGAAAGCAAATGAATAGAAATGTGGTATATAATAGGTCATATGAAAAGTCATGCTTTCATTCTACATATACATACTGAGCATTGCTATGTACCAGGATCTGTGTGGGTTAGAAAGTTGTGTAAGATGCAGTCCCTGCCCTCAAAGAGTTTGTTCTACATTTCTTCCATTGAGCAAGGGATAATACTAGCTGGGTTCCTAACCCCTTGGTGGTTCCCATGTTTGGCTGATTTGTTTTTCACCAGCAAAGCAGCCTAGGAAGATCTTTAATCCCAACATAGTGAATTTGAATTTAAGATTTTGACAGCCCAAAATGACAAGATATTAATAATAATTACAACATTGATAATAGTAAACTGAGAATGGAGAGAGGCAAGTGGGGACACATGTAAAGGTTCCTAGGAGGTGATATGTTCTGGACTAAGTTGGGATATTTGCATGGCTCAGTGAAAAGGAAAAATAATGTTAACAGTCAACATTTCAGCTAGAAGAGTGTCAATTCTTTGGTGACAGGTGGGGAAAGAGGCTTATGGGAGAAAGTAAAGGGAATAAATTTTATTCACTACCTTTCTTCACCATAGAAAATTAAAAAAAAGTATGACTGTGAAATTTGGGAGAGCAAGTGGCCCTGCTAGTGGATTGAGAGGAAAAAGGAAGAGAGACCACTGGCTCTCCAAAGAGCAGAGCAAACTGAAGAGAAGATGAAGGTGCTGATAGCCTCAACAACAACTGAAGAAATAAAGCCCTTTCTCTGGAAAAACATATGTATAAAATATTTAACTGACATTAGATATTAAGAATTAATGAAAACACCAAAACACTTTATTTATGTAGGAAGTTTTTTCCCCTTTAGAAAATGTGCTGTTTTAAAACTTAAAATCATTTCATACGTGATCCAGGGAGAAAGCAGTGTGGATCTCTAGCGGTGAGTACTATCAGAATGAGGTAGATGGAAATGACCTCCAAATGAGTCTCTTATATTGCCTCCTGCCAACTCACTGTAAGAAGGGTCAAAGTTGAAGAATTCCATGATTGGAATGGATTGCTAGGTGTCAGACACTTCTAGTGAGACCCGCATCCTCCCAAAACTTGTGTGGGAAGGGTGAGGAAAATGAAAGCTATTTGCACCGAATTCTGACACCCTGTGTCTCCCTTCTCCACTTGCCAGCTCCAATGGGGAGGGAGAGTACCTTCCACCTGGCATTGCTTCTGAGTAGCTTTGTGAACTCCTTTGGGCTATTATGTTGGCTGGTACTTTGGCTTCTTTGGCTCCCAGCACCAGCTGATGCCCTGAGCTGAGTCCCAGTTGGGCAGGCTCTATTGCTCAGTGCTATAGCTGTCTCCAGAGCATTGTTCGTGAGACTTCCAACAGGGCAGATTTGTGCAGTTGACCCATCTGGACAAGGTCTATAACAAGTAGAGCTCTGTGCAATAAGCTCATCTCCATAGTCCACCCCCCCCGCTACCCCCGCCTTCGGGCTGCAGCAGCCTGACACCCCAGCGCCACCATAGAGAGTATCAAAGAGATACTCTCTGCTCCTTTCAAAGGGGTATTGCTTGTGGCCTCTCATTGATTGGCACTACCTGGGCAGAAATGGGAAAACAGGGATTCTCTGCCCTCTCAATTTAATCTCCTTTCTTTAGCCAGTCCTTTAGTTTTAAATCTCCTTGGCCACCAGAGTCATAATTAATATTTTCAATAAGGTTAATTTCTGGTCCAGCTACCCTGATCAGCCCAGAATGCTCTCCTCAAAGCCAAGAGACAAGAAGAGTATCTCAGTGAACAGGAAAGAGCAGCCAAGCTCAATAGGAAAAAAAGGGGGAAAGAAGCTGAGCTCTTGGTTTGACTATAGGATTTGCTTTGGTCATTGGATTTATTGACTTTCCATTTTGAACACTGTTCTGAGAAAGGGAGTAAAGGAGGGAGGGGAAAGGAGGAAGATGAGAGAGAGAAAGAGAAAGAGAGAGAGAGAGAGAGAGAGAGAGAGAGAGAGAGAGAGAGAGAGAGAGATATTAGACTCACATAGTTAATTATTGTAGGTCCAGAGAAAAAGTCAAGATGTTAGAGATCATTTGATCCCGTCTGTCTTCCAGTTGTTTAGCTCAGCACTTTAATCTTCCCTTTTTCAGTTCTTCACAGTGGGTCATTTCAAAGGACTCAGAGTACCAAGCCCATGCTTCCCCATGTCCCAGTGGTATGTCAGGCCTGAGATGAGCCCTTCACAACCCCTCTATTCTGACATTTCTGGTAGCTTCAACTGACTGCTTCCCCTCCTCACTGTGGAAGGAGAAAGGAAGCAAGAGAAGGATTAAGAAATAACTCCAACCTATGTTTTTCTAACTCTACATCTCCATTCTGAGATTGGCCAAGTCAATATTTGTCCAGGATAGGGGTCCTCTATATACCTAGTTCCTCCCTCCTTTAGGAACCTTGAAGCCCACTTTATCCCAGACAAGGTTACATGGCACTATTATTTGCTCACTAAAAGGAGCAAGTTGGGAAATGAGGGGTCCTGGGAAATAAAGAGACTTTGGAGAAAAAGAAGAAACAAATAAAAGCACAGCTAACAGAAGACTCCCTGAGGACAGTTTCTGTATTGTACTCCTCCTAGGTCCTACTGCTTTGGATCTCACTTTTCTTAAAAGGTTTCTAGCATCGCTGTGTAACTTTCTTGAAGACCAAGCATTTTTCTCTTTTTACACTCCATAGCAGTCAAACACACCCTGCCGCCATGTTAGTTAGTTAGGGAATAAAACAAATATTTCTGGGACCAGGAAATTCAGGTAGATCTGGAAGGGTGGTCTCTCTGAGAGTCCAAGATTTCTGACCTCATTCTGACAGTGTTGAGCTTCCAAGGAAGCTTGAAGATCTCTCCGTTGGGTCATATAGCAATGCCCTACCCCAGTGCAGCCGATGACTGTTCCAACCTTGCTGAGTGGTGGGGAATCTATCCCCGTGCCTTCCTCCCACAGTCAAGGAAACCTGACTGGGTCACACAGGGCAGCACTTGTGGACGGGAAAGACTCCCTATTTGAGCCCGTGGTAGAAGTTACAGAAGGCACAGTAAAGGTCAGGCTCTGGGTGGGAGGTGGCAGGGCAAAGATTGGTGCAGATTAAGATGACAAATGCCAGAATCTAGTAGCAGTGGTCTGAATAGTCTCCACCAGAGAACTGAAAAACAGAGAAGCTCCTGTCAGGGAAGAAGGTCATCCTGGCCCCAAGAACATGTCCAAACCTTACTCTCATGAGAAATGGGATATTATGGAGAAAATCTGAATTAGGGTAGGTAAGCCATCTTTCTAAGTAAAGCCACCATTGGCACCCTGCATTGTAGACCCACACGGCTTTGGGATTGGCTGTTGAAGTTCTGAGTGGGAGATCAGGAAGGAACTGTTCAAGCCCTTGATGGAACCTAATGCAGGGGGAAAGCCCACCCAGGAGGAAGCAGGAAGCCAACAGCTGGACTCTTTAGCTCCTATTCACAGTGCCTGGTGGATATCTTCTGACCGTAGCACTTTATAGACAACCCAGTAGAAGATGTTGAAGATGAGGAAAGTGAAAGGGAAGACAGCCCGGGAGATGGTGTCAATCCTCTTGGCCTGGTCCACGTAGAGTTTCCACATGTTTTCTCCTTCCCTTAGAAGAGGGGCTGGAGGTTGGGGGCTATAAATGCCAGAACCTTCCATTGGACCTCCATCCCTTGCCTGCAGGCAGTGGCCCAGGCCATAGCCACGGAAATAAAGGCGACTTTCTCGGGTGATATCTTCCTCCTGGAATTACATGGAAGAAAAGGCAGAATTTGAGGTCACAGCTCTAAGGCAGAGGAATAAAAACCAGGCCACACAAATATCTCAGGTGGTGCTATGCAGACAGCGTAGCTGGGTACACAGGCCCACTGCATGTGTTTTTATGACCACAAAACTACTCATGAGATAGATGTATGTTAAGCAGCTATACGTGGTATGGATGGCATATGTTATGATTCCATTTGCAGATAAGCCCTGAGCGGCCTTTTTAAAATGCATAACATCATTTAGAGCCATCTAAAACTCAGTGAAGTGCCACCTCACCGCAAGAGGGACATCTCAATGTCAAGTTATCTCTGACTGGTAATAAACAGAATAAACAGAGCAATGAAACCTTTAGAAAGCACAGCTGAGATATTTAGACTTGGGAACTTGACTTTAATGACTTCCAAAAGCTACAAACTTAATTCTGCTTGTACATAGTATCTTAAAAAAAATGTTTATCTCGACTTAAAGCTGAAAATTCCAAAAGTTTCAAATAACCTAGTGGGCTATCTGAATTATCGTAAAGCTGATCATGCTCTTGCAGATACGTGTGCTTCTAGGGTAACATTTATTACCCAATACACATTCCATTCATGTACAGTATATGCATTCTGATGAACACATTAACACTGAAGAGGTAAATTTTTATATAAGCATTAAGCAATGTAGCAGACTACACAAAGTTTGTCTAATAAATGACAGCTGACAATCTTAAGTAGCTATAACACAGCTGAGAGCCAGAAGGTAAGGCCACAAAGATAGATAGATAGAGATCTAGAGAGAGATGGAGAGGGAGAAGGAGAGGGAAAAGGAGAGAGAGAGAGAGAGAGAGAGAGAGAGAGAGAGTGAGAGAAAGAGAGAGAGAGAGAGAACCAAAGCCCCTGAGTGATCAACAGAGAGAACTTTACTCATATAAGAGCCTTTCAGGGCCCCACTCAGAGCCTATTTACTCTTGGTTTCTATATAACCCAAACCTGCCCCATTTTGGCTACTTCTAAAGGATATACTGCCATCAGAAGTGATGGTTCACAGCCTGGAAATTAGACAGAGGACAGGTAAGTATATACCAAAACCTGGAAATACTTCATTCAAAGATGGTTATAATTTTGTAAAGTATTGATGTTTACAGGAGTAAAAGCTTCAGCTATGTAAGAAATAACCTGAAGTGAAATGCCCCCTTGTGGGATGGTGCCAACTATCTTCTCAGCTTGTCCAGGGCTGAGGGCTTCCTGAGACTAGGGGCTTTCAGTACTAAAACAGAATAAGGCACATGTATGTTGAACGGATGTGACAGATATACATAAAATGTAGATAAAAGTAGATTTTACACATGCTATGCAGTTAGAAGGACATCATAGGGTGTTTATAATGAGATCTCTGTAGCTATAGTAACCCACTGAAAAGTGGTTTAATCGATGAGATGTTGGTGTGGTGGGTCCCAGTGAGCCTTGATTATGACAGCACTAGAAGGCCTAGCCTGTCACTGGGCATCAGAGGCAGACAAGCTTAGGTCAGAGATTTATCAACAGATCCCACCTCTTTCTCTGCTTCCTGTGGGCTCATAGTACAGACGTGGGAAAGGGCATTGATCTTGCTCACTGCTGTGTCCCCAGTGCCTAGCACAGAGCTGGCATCCAATAGGCACCCAGTAGACATTAGTTGAATGAATGAACGGACTGATGAACCACATGCCTCAGAGTACAGGACAGGGAACGGCTTTGTTCTCATGAAGCCAGCCTCCTCTCAGGATCTCAGTCTGAAGAGTCTACTCAGAAGAGAATCTTAGCTACAAAGTACTTGGCAGAACAAGCAATTACTCCTTGCCCCACCACTGCACAAGGGCGTGATGCCCTTCAGCCTTTAGAAAGAGTGGCACCTTTGGCATAGAGAAGGGTCTCTCTAAGTTTGCCCACCAGAGAGCCTTGCTATTCAATCCTCGAATTTTCCAGTCTCTGTGGAGATAGTGGTACACGTGTAGGCGAGAGGTAATTCACTCCTGTGGTGGTGCTTTGACCCTGAGTTGTTGTGGTGAGGCAGCCTCAGTTCTCTCCTGAAAGTTCTTTACATAACCTGTCACCACAGGCCTTGGCTCACCTCATCTGTATTCTGTAATTCATTTTCACACTGTTTCTACCAGAGAGGTTGTGCTGGACCCATTTTATAGATGAAGAACCAGAGGCAAACAAAATATCTCCCACATAAGTGAACAATGAGGGGGTAAATAAAATGATTTTTCCTTTTGCTTTCCAGTTCAGAGTCCCTCAGACTCCCTGTTCCCTGCTGCTCATCCTGATACTCTCAGCTCTCCAGCCAGAGGATACAAGCATGGAATATATTTGTTTGCAAAAATCTCTGAAAGAGAAAGTTGAATCCAACTGCTCTTTCTGTTTCTATAGATCTAATTATTTCCCCTTTTCTCCAATCACAGTAAATCTAAAGGGAATTATTGGAAAATATTCCAAGGCTGGAAAAAGCTATTTCACACAGGAGAGAAAATATGGCCAATAGAATGTCACCCTTGGCTCTTTTTAATTTTAACATGTTGCACCACTTGTAGTTGGGGGAGCAAACATGAGTGGCCTAAAATTCAAGGGTGGAGATCCTGGATTTGGGTATTACCTATTTAGGCCAAATTCTGAGGGTGTGTGTGTGTGTGTGTGTGTGTGTGTGTGTGTGTGTGTGTGTGACAGTGGAGGCTTAAACTCCACTTTGTGGCTTCCATGGCTGTTGAAATAGAACATTTCTGTGGCAGATATCTATAGGGGAGGAGGGCTGGGGAGCTAGAGAGGAAAGATATTCCAAAACCAAGCTGGGGCGGGAATGCACGGTGTGGAGATGGGAAGGAGGGATAGATATTGAGTGATATATATTGAAGTGAGAGAGGAAATTGGAGAATGGGGGAGGATCCTGGGGGATGGAAAGAGGCAAGCAGGGTTCTGGGATCAAGCGCCTGAGAGGATTTGGCAATAGTTTGAAATTTCTTCCATTTCTCAAGTTATTCTATTGATAATGGTAAGGCTTTTTCTCTCTCCATCTTGAAAGAGAGCCCTTGCCAATCAGCCTGCAAAGGTTGGTGGAGTAGATTCTGTGGCTGCTGTGTCCAGAACCTGGTGCCAGGGCCTGTTGAGATTATAAAAAAGGAGAGACAGACTCTTCCCTGCGGGGTTTCTAGACAAGCTGGGAAGACAAAGTGGAAATGTCTGGGGAAAAAAATTGAGCTATTGGGTTGCCCAAAAACCCGAACGAACTTTTTGGCCAAGCCATTATTTTAGACTGTGACATGGAAGGAGATCACCATGCTGTGGAGATGGGTGGTTGAGGAGAGATTTGAGAACAACAGAATGAAGTCTGGAGCTGGGTGAACAGCTGGCTGGCTTCTAGAATACTCCTAACTTGTTCTTGACTAAGGGATCCCTGAAAATCATATGGATTCTCTCTCTCCCTTAAGAGGGCTCCTCTCAAGACTAAAAACTGCTCCTCTAGCTGGAACAGCAGGGCCCAAAGAGAGGTTCTAGGAATGGATTAACCCTGCATCAACTTTTTCAGCCTGATCAGTGACCTCTAGGATTCTGCTACATTTCTTCTGGGTTGGCAGTGGCTTTAGGAAACTCAAAAAGGGACAGGACTAATGGCACAGGTTTTGGTTTTCAGGTTTTATTTATATTAATCATAAGCCCAGTCCACTTTGAGGCAGGACCCAGGTGCCTAAGCAGGGCCCAGGCTGATGTTATAACTTTGCAATTACTGAGCACGGGTTATATGACAGACTTCATTATGAAATCAGGATCACCCTATACATGACCAGGAGGGGATAGGCCGTGGGCAGTTGGAGGTTGGAGAGGTACAGGGAAGGGGGAGGGACTAGTGTCAACCTGGAGTAGTTCTACAGTAACTGCAGCAGTCTTCTGTTGCCAGGACACCCACACAGGCAATCTAGCTGGCAAAAGGACTCCGGAACTGGTTGGCAGCCTGCTCTTCTTTCCCAAGGTAGGCATTGAGAAGGCATCAAGATCAAAACCTCTATAAAGATAAGATTTTGGTACCTGCGGGCAGGCTTGACACAGCTAAACAGGAGGTGGGGACAGTTAGCTTAGAAAAGAGTGCATCTACTTTTCTTGCCCTTCTGCCAAGTCCATATATTTTTTCTAAGTCTCAGCACTGGATACGAAGGCTTTTAGGTCTCTTGAAGAATCGGTCCTACTCAAGGAGATGTAGTTATGGATCAATCCACTAGAGGGCGGGTTTCCCAGGACACAACTCAAGGACTTAAGCCAGGCAAGAATTGATAAATTCCGACAAACCACTAGATGAGGCAGGAGCCCTGCCCTCACCAGAAAGGGACCTTAGCAAGGAACATGAAATCCCGGAGGATAATTTTAGTGCAGACATATGGTAAGGGTACTCCAGGAGCAGCTGAAGTGGGAGGTGGGATGTTAAGAAGAGAGAAGAACCTTAGTGCTAGAGTGGCCCCGAAAGGCTAGAGCCAGTGGGCTTAGATAGAACATTGTTTCCTCTCCCCCAAGAGGTCATATGTGCCTGCCTCTTGGCTTTGGAGCCTCCAGATAAGGCAGAAAACAAGGAGTCAGAGCTCAAGACAGGCCAGAGCTCTGTGTGTCTGATGATTAAGTGACCGGTATGTAGCTCAGCAAAGGCTTTTAGCTTTGCTCATAATTGGGCACTGGCTTCTGTGAGAGTGGCCCAGGCACCTCTATTGTCATGGCAACGTACCTAGCACCTATGGTCTGGGTAACGGTGGGGAGGAAGAACTGCCTCTGTTGTCATGATGACAAGATCCCTACTCTATTTCCCCAGGTGATCACTCTACTGTAGAAGAAATGGGGTTAACAAACAAGAGCGAGGGAGAACAACAGCTCATGCCCAACAACTCTGATGCGCCCAGTGAAGATCAAGGTGAAGAAATCTAACAGCCAGAAGAGGCAAGTGATGGTTTTTCAATTCCACTTTAGTTATGGGGACCCTTTTATAATGCTCCCCTAGAAAGGCAACAATGCCTGATCTGAATTTTTAACCACCAAACAGTATATGACAACTTGGGGTACCTTCCTCCTGGGTGGGAGGAGAGTCAGGAGCAACCACTAATTATTCTCAAAGCAATCTCATGTTAACTAACTTGACAAGGTTCTAATATTGGCTAACATTTTTCCAGTGCTTACTATGCCCATGCTCTTAATCAGTCTGCTAGACTGCCCTACAGGAATTAAGGTCCCATTGGACAGAAAAAGAAATGGAATCAAAGAGGTTAAAGTACTTAGCTTATTTGTGACCAGCTTGGGACTAGAATCCAGGGTCCTGATTGCCTGTCTAGTCCTTGCAGCCTAGGTCAAGTCTTGGTTTGTGGGAGGAGTAGTAGGGAGGAAGGAGTCCAAAGGAGAAAGGAAGTGGGCCCCTCCCTAGTTATACTCACCATGCGTTGGCGCCTCTGCCTTCTTCGAAGTCGCATGAATTCCTTATGCTGACGGGAGACAAAATTGACAGCAGCATACTCCAGCAGGGCAGCGAACACGAAGAGGAGGCAAACAGCCATCCAGATGTCGATTGCCTTCACGTAGGACACCTGCAACATCCACCAATGGAGCAGTCAGCTTTCCAGGAGTCCTTCCATGGCCTGTCCAGTGAGTTGCCAACCCATATCAACTGCCTGCTGTTCTTCAGTTTTATCCTGAATTTCTTCTGGTTTTTAAAGAAGCTTCCCATGATATGTCCCATTGTCTGAAGGCCCATGTCAAAGAGATCGGGCTACCCATCATCCTTCACCTCTCTGCCCTCTCCATCCTCCCCTTCCATCTGCCTTTCCTCCCTACACTTCTTTTCCTTTCTTTCTTCTTTCCTTGCTTCTGCTTCTGCTTCTTATTATTCTTTTCATTCTTGCTTTCTGACTCTTTTCCTTCAATGAAAAGCAATGAACATGAATGCTGTATTTGCTTGCCTTCTGTTCTCTCCTAGGGTCATCACAGCTGTGGTGGTAATTGGGTGGGGTGCGTTATTCCCATGTGAGACACATGAGGACATTGGAGGCCTTGAGGGGAAAAGACTTAGCCAAGATTACCCAGTGAGAAGATAGCAGTAGGGCTTGGATATCCTGGGCTTTCAATTCAGTGGTGCTGCCGTTACCTAGGCTGTAGTATCAATATCAGACTAGGAGGTCCTTCCTTTCCTCCCTCCAACCCTATTCTTCCTTAACCTTGTGATTTTTTTCCTGCTGTTCTTTGTGAGAGACCCTGGTGGGGATTTGAACTGAGTGGTGAGTGAGGGCCTCATGTCTTACAATGAAGAGCAGAACAGGGCAGGGATCCCAATGGAGTGTACAATTCACCCACTGCTATGGATGCTTCTCTCACTTAAGGCACTGCTGGCATCCACCTATCCATTCCTTAGTGCTCTCCTCTACTACCTGCCTTGGTAGCCTTTAAGTACAGTCCTGCGTTTGAGGATACGAAGGGCCAAATGTAAGGGACTTGAGCATCTGCTGATTTTAGTATCTGCAGGGGGCCCTGGAATCAATCCCCCACTGGTACTGAGGGATGACTGTACTTTTCTCTCCCATTTCCCTTGTAAAGAGTGAATGCTCACTTCTCCTGAAGCAGGGTTGTGGCTGGGTGGGACCAGAAGGGAGGCCAGAGCTCAGGTTTATGAAGTCCTTTCACGTCCTCAATCAGATCACCTCCGTACATTGTTTTGAGCAGCTGAGCTCACCTTATGGGGCTCCCCAGCAGGAGTAGGACTAATGACAGGCAACTTTTTTCATCAGCCTCTGCTATGTTGGACAGTGAGGTTGCTGCAGACTCCAGGTAAGGAGCAGGTCTCACTAGAGAAATCTTCCACCTCAGGAGTTCTTAACCAGGGCTGACTCCCCCCAACCCCACCCCACCAGGGGCCTTTCAAAATGTTTGGAGACATTTTTGGTTGCACAATTTTGGGGTGGTGCTGGCAACTGGCATCTAGTGGGTAGAGGCCAGGGAAGCTGCTAAATATCCTACAGTGTACAGGACAGCCCCTCCCAACCCACACATTAAAGAAAAATTATCTCACCCAAAATGATGATAGTGCTAAGATTGAGAAACCCTAGGAAGACACTGGAACTCACCAAAAAAGATACCCCACATCCAAATACAAAGGAGAAGCCATAATGAGACGGTAGGAGGGGCGCAATCACAGTAAAATCAAATCCCATAACTGGTGGGTGGGGTGACTCACAGACTGGAGAACACTTATACCATAGAAGGCCACCCACTGGAGTGAAGGTTCTGAGCCCCACGTCCGGCTTCCCAACCTGGGGGTCCGGCAATGGGAGGAGGAATTCCTAGAGAATCAGACTTTGAAGCCTAGTGGGAATTGATTGCAGGACTTCGACAGGACTGGGGGAAACAGAGACTCCACTCTTGGAGGGCACACACAAAGTAGTGTGTGCATCGGGACCCAGGGGAAGGAGCAGTGACTCCAGAGGAGACTGAACCAGACCTACCTGCTAGTGTTGGAGGGTCTCCTGCAGAGGCGGGGGGTGGCTGTGGCTCACCGTGGGGACAAGGACACTGGCAGCAGAGGTTCTGGGAAGTACTGCTTGGCGTGAGCCCTCCCAGAGTCTGTCATTAGCCCCACCAAAGAGCCCAGGTAGGTTCCAGTGTTGGGTTGCCTCAGGCAAAACAACAAACAGGGAGGGAACCCAGCTCCATCCATCAACAGTAAAGCGGATTAAAGTTTTTTTTTGTTTGTTTTGTTTTTTTTGCGGTAAGCGGACCTCTTATGGCCTCTCCCGTTGCAGAGCACAGGCTCCGGACGCACAGGCTCAGCAGCCATGGCTCTCGGGCCTAGCCGCTCCACGGCATGTGGGATCTTCCCAGACTGGGGCACGAACCCGTGTCCCCTGCAACGACAGGCGGACTCTCAACCACTGCACCACCAGGGAAGCCCCGCAGATTAAAGTTTTATTGAGCTCTGCCCATCAGAGCAACAGTCAGCTCTACCCACCACCAGTCCCTCCCATCAGGAAACTTACATAAGCCTCTTAGGTAGCCTCATCCACCAGAGGGCAGACAGCAGAAGCAAGAACTACAGTCCCACAGCCTTTGGAATAAAAACTACATTCACAGAAAGATAGACAAGATGAAAAGGCAGAGGGCTATGTACCAGAAGAATGAACAAGGTAAAACCCCAGAAAAACAGCTAAATGAAGTGGAGATAGGCAACCTTCCAGAAAAAGAATTCAGAATAATGATAGTGAAGATGATCTAGGACCTCGGAAAAAGAATGGAGGCAAAGATCGAGAAGATGCAAGAAATGTTTAACAAAGACTTAGAAGAATTAAAGAACAAACAAACAGAGATGAACAATACAATAAGTGAAATGAAAACTACACTAGAAGGAATCAATAGCAGAATAACTGAGGCAGAAGAACGGATAAGCGACCTGGAAGACAGAATGGTGGAATTCACTGCTGCGGAACAGAATAAAGAAAAAAGAATGAAAAGAAATAAAGACAGCGTAAGAGACTTCTGGGACAACATTAAAGGCAACAACATTCACATTATAGGGGTCCCAGAAGGAGAAGAGAGAGAGAAAGGGCCAGAGAAAATATTTGAAGAGATTATAGTTGAAAACTTCCCTAACATGGGAAAAGAAATAGCCAGGAAGTGCAGCAAGTCCCATACAGGATAAACCCAAGGAAAAACATGCCGAGACACATAGTAATCAAAATGGCAAAAATTAAAGACAAAGAAAAATTATTGAAAGCAGCAAGGGAAAAATGAAAAATAACATACAAGGGAACTCCCATAAGGTTAACAGCTGATTTCTCAGCAGAAACTCTACAAGCCAGAAGGGAGTGGCATGATATACTTAAAGTGATGAAAAGGAAGAACTTACAACCAAGATTATTCTACCCAGCAAGGATCTCATTCAGATTCGATGGAGAAATCAAAAGCTTTACAGACAAGCAAAAGCTAAGAGAATTCAGCACCACCAAACCAGCTCTACAACAAACACTAAAGGAACTTCTCTAAGTGGGAAACACAAGAGAAGAAAAGGATCTACAAAAACAAACCCAAAACAATTAAGAAAATGGTCATAGGAACATACATATCGATAATTACCTTAAAAATGAATGGATTAAATGTTCCAACCAAAAGACACAGGTTTGCTGAATGGATACAAAAACAAGACCCATCTATATGCTGTCTACAAGAGACCCACTTCAGACCTAGGGACACATACAGGCTGAAAGTGAGGGGATGGAAAAAGATATTCCATGCAAATGGAAATAAAAACAAAGCTGGAGTAGCTATACTCATATCAGATAAAATAGACTTTAAAATAAAGAATGTTACAAGAGACAAGGACACTACATAATGATCAAGGGATCAATCCAAGAAGATACAACAATTATAAATATATATGCACACAGCATAGGAGCACCTCAATACATAAGGCAACTGCTAACAGCTATAAAAGAGGAAATCGACAGTAACACAATAATAGTTGGGGACTTTAACACCTCACTTACACCAATGGAGAGATCACCCAAAATTAAAATAAATAAGGAAACAGAAGCTTTAACTGACACAATAGACCAGATAGTTTTAATTGATATTTATAGGACATTCCATCCAAAAACTGCAGATTACACTTTCTTCTCAAGTGCACATGGAACATTCTCCAGCATAGATCACATCTTGGGTCACAAATCAAGCCTCAGTAAATTTAAGAAAATTGAAATCATATCAAGCATCTTTTCTGACCACAACGCTATGAGATTAGAAATGAATTACAGGGTAAAAAACGTAAAAAACACAAACACATGGAGGCTAAACAATACGTTACTAAAAAACCAAGAGATCACTTAAGAAATCAAAGAGGAAATCAAAAAATACCTAGAGACAAATGACAATGAAAACACAACGATCCAAAACCTATGGGGATGCAGCAAAAGCAGTTCTAAGAGGGAAGTTTATAGCTATACAAGCCTACTTCAAGAAACAAGAAAAATCTCAAGTAAACAATCTAACCTTACACCTAAAGTAACTACAGAAAGAAGAACAAACAAAACCCAAACTTAGCAGAAGGAAAGAAATCATAAAGATCAGAGCAGAAATAAATGAAATAGAAACAAAGAAAACAATAGCAAAGATCAATAAAACTAAAAGCTGGTTCTTTGAGAAGATAAACAAAATTGATAAAACATTAGCCAGACTTATCCAGAAAAAGAGGGAGAGGACTCAAATCAATAAAATTAGAAATGAAAAAGGAGAAGTTTCAACAAACACCAAAGAAATACAAAGCATCCTAAGAGACTACTACAAGCAACTCTTTGCCAATAAAATGGACAACCTGGAAAAAATGGACAAATTCTTAGAAAAGTATAACCTTCCAAGACTGAACCAGGAAGAAATAGAAAATATGAACAGACCAGTCACAAGCACTGAAATTGAAACTGTGATTAAAAATCTTCCAACAAACAAAAGCCCAGGACCAGATGGCTTCTCACAGGTGAATTTTATCAAACATTTAGAGAAGAGCTAACACCCATCCTTCTCAAACTCTTCCAAAAAATTGCAGAGGAAG